TATACGAATCGGAGTCAGCAGGCATTGAGGTGAAACTGCGCATTCAAAGTTGGTCTAACGTGAACTCAACAGTAATGGTGATGTTATCGGCACCACCTTTCACAGTAGAAGAGTCAGCCATGACCACTTCAGAATGAGCCCACAGCCGGAGAAAATATGGTTCTCAGATACGAATTCAGGAATAGTCGACGAGTCGTGTCTAACCGAAGACATGAGTGAGAGGAAAATGCAAACGAAGAGGGGCTGCTCTGCGATGGCCGCGCTTATCGATAAGCTTAAATTCCGAGCACAAAAAGTGGTCATCGATCCATTCTGTGTCTCAGCAATCGAAAGATAGCGCCTCCCTGTCCGTGTCCATAGCTGGAATTTGTCGCTGGACTTCTATACCTAGATCACCAATTGACAATCATTGTTAGGCGCATTCATGGTGTCAATTACGACGGAATACATCAGTGTTGGGGGGAACAGGCATCCGGCCGCCGCAGACTGGGATGTGCAGTTAGGCGTGCTCGCCTTTGGTGCAGATAACAATGTGGCCTTATGGGATCCAAGGGTATAAACTCTTTCAGTGGCCCAATTGGTCTCGACGCAACCGGACTAATACTGCTTTTGCCTGTCTAGGATACCTCTCAGCGCGGGGTTTATGCCCTCCTCGTTGGCCATACCGACAAAGTCAGTGCGATCAGATTCTACACATGTCCCGCCACGGGTACGAAGCTGCTTCTTACCGGCTCCATTGACCAAACGATTCGGATATGGCGAGCTGATGCAGTCGACCCCGCCAAATTCACCCATGCACACACTCTTACGGGTCATACAGGCTCAGTGAATACAATTGCCGTTGCCGATGGCGTCGCTATCGTCGCATCTGGAGCCGCAGATGGTAGCGTCAAGATCTGGAGGGTCGACACACAGGAAACCGTAATAAAGGCGGATCTATTTCAGGATCTTACGATGAAACCTCGCTTCTTCCCGCTGGCATTATCATTGAAGCTGCTGTCAACAGAATCGAAAGACAAACCCGTGGTATTGGCAGTCGCGGGCACGATGAATAATGTTCAGATTTATGTTTCTGAGAACATATTCACTGGTGCAAGCTTCAGACTATCTGCGACTCTTTCAGGCCATGAGGCATGGGTACGTTCCCTCTCCTTCACCGAGGATAAACAAAGCAAGTCAGGGGACCTATTGCTCGCCTCAGCCAGTCAAGATAAATATATCCGGTTGTGGAGGCTTCAACGAGGCGAGGCCACCAAGACTGCACTAGCAGATGATGCAGATCCTATGCTTGGTGGACTTGAGACGACCTTATCCAACAAAGCTCATCAATTCGAAGCAGCCGGGTCCAAATATTCGGTCACTTTCGAAGCTCTTCTGTTTGGAAATGAGGATTGGATTTACACGACATGTTGGAACCCAAGCACTGAACGCCAGCAGCTTCTTTCGGCTTCTGCAGATAATACGTTGACAATCTGGGAGCAGGATCCAGTGTCCGGAGTATGGCTCTCAGCAGAGAGGATGGGAGAAATTAGCGTCCAAAAGGGATCTACCACAGCTACAGGAAGCACTGGCGGCTTCTGGATTGGTCTTTGGTCTCCGGACGGAAGACAAGTCGTGAGTCTGGGCCGAACAGGTAGCTGGAGGGCATGGAGGTATGATGCCGATTCGGATATGTGGCTGCAGGCACTGGGGATTACCGGCCATGTGAGGTCTGTGAACGGTGTGCAGTGGGAACCAACCGGAGGGTATTTGCTTTCCACCAGCGCAGACCAGACTACTCGCCTGCATGCAGAGTGGTCGCGTGAGGGACTGAAGTCGTGGCATGAGTTTTCAAGACCTCAGATTCATGGTTACGATCTGAATTGCATCGATACCTTGGGACCCTCGCGCTTTGTGTCAGGCGCTGACGAAAAGCTTTTACGAGTGTTCAACGAGCCGAAACCCGTCGCACAACTACTGGAGAAGCTGGCCGGATTTAAACCAGTAACGGACGAAGAGCTTCCAGATACAGCACAGATTCCAGTTCTCGGCTTGTCTAACCAGGCCGTGGGCGATGAAATCCCAGTGGAGGTAGACGAAGAGAGTGCTGCGGGGGCGCGGCAAGTCCAAGCAAACCAGGCAATGATATCGAACCTGTGCCATCCACCGCTGGAAGACCAGTTGGCTCGCTATACACTATGGCCCGAGCATGAGAAGCTCTATGGTCATGGTTACGAGATATCAGCCGTGGCCGTGAATCATGATCGCACCTTAGTTGCGACTGCTTGTAAAGCAAGCTCAATAGACCATGCGGTGATACGGCTCTACGACACTTCTGATTGGCGTGAAATCCGGCCTTCCCTGAAAGCGCATTCTTTGACTATTACAAGTCTGCGTTTTTCGAGTGATGACCAATACCTCCTAAGTGTTGGGCGAGATCGGCAGTGGGCTGTGTTTCTACGAAGTGGGCAAGACCCTTCTTCATTCTCACTTCTGACATCGAACCCCAAGGGCCATTCTAGAATGATTCTAGATGCGGCATGGGCTCCCCAAGCGGCAAACCCTGTCTTCGCGACGGCTGGTCGAGACAAATCCGTAAAACTTTGGGAGAAGGTCGATGATTCGTTCGCTTGCAAGACGACTATCTCTCTAGAAAACTCAGTCACAGCTGTTTCGATCCTTCCAAGTGTACTTGACGCCTCCTTCTTCCTTGCAACGGGCGAAGAAAGTGGCAAATTATCGATCTACCAGGTGAAGGTTGAAAGTCTCGAAGCGAGACACGTTGCTTCTGTTGATAGATTGGTATCCCCCTCTAGGGCGATCACCCAATTATCATGGCGTCCGTCCCATCAGAAGGATGTTAGAGATACTGAGGGCAGATATGAGCTTGCCGTAGCAAGTGAGGATTCCTCAGTGCGTGTATATGCTATCTCTAACATGCTTTCGTGAACTGCTATGTATATACACAACGAAAGAAGTACAAAAAAAAGCAATCATGAGCTCATGTCATGGGTGTTGAATAGCTCTAGAATGTTGAATGATGCCTGACCTTTATCGCCCATAAACCAAGCCGTAAACCGCCCGCCATGCTATTGTGGTTGAACAGAATGTTTGTTGAAGCAAAAGTAATATTCTAAGAAATTGGACAACCAAGAGAATCAGCCGCTCCGGATGAAGAGAGAAGCTGGTCAGATTGGCTTCTCCAGCCCATATCCCCCGAGACCGTCCAGTGACCCGTAGGTCTTGCTCTGGCTGGATTGCCCGTTTCTCGGTCCTCTGGCCGACAAGTCCTCCTTGAGCCACTTGAGCACAAGCTCACCGAGTTGACTGTTCTCTGATGTCTCGGTGACCTCGCTCTTGAATTTTTCCATGGGGCCCCATTGCCTGACGTTTCCGAGGTGCATATGCACCAGATGGGTGGGCCACTGCGACAAATTATCCAGGATGTGCGTGGCATAGACGATCGTGCAGGGTCTTGTCTCTGTCTCCCGCTTGAGGAAGGAGAGGAAGTTACTCCTAGAAAGCAAGTCGAGGTCCACCGTGATTTCGTCGAGAAGAAGCACCTGCCATGGGCGCAGCAGACCCATCGCCAGCTGCACACGGCGGCGCTCACCGTCCGACACGGCGTGCATACGCCATCGGAGGTCAATGTCGAGAATCTCAACCAGCTCATCCCTACGCTCGGGATAGGCGTCTCCACCCACAGATGCTAGAAGCGTGGGGACGTCGATGTCCGTACGGACAATGCTGTTCAGAACCCACTCGACACCCAGGTAAGTCACCCCTTCGAGGCCGTGCTTGAAGGGGTCCTTGCCACCAATAGAAATAGTGTCTGTCGGGGCCAAGCGCTTGCCTGCCAACAAGCGAAGGAGCGTGGTCTTGCCCGCACCATTTGCTATAATGGCGTTAACAATCGATCATGACTCATCTAGTCAGCAGGGGACCAAATCACCTCCAATGAGCAATGTCCGACTCCCTGCTGGAAGACTGAGAGTCACATTCGTCAAGCCTGAAGAACCATCTTGGAACTTATAATTCAGACCGTTCACATTGATTGAAGGACCCGTCTGATTGCCTGAGTCTGCCATGTCTAGACGATGAGTAACTACGCTGTTGGTTAATGCAGTGCTATCCTGACGTGAAGAACACTTACTACTTCTAAATGGCAAGGGATTCATAAACCTATTTCGCTTATTAATTGTGAATAAGAGAGTGACCACAACAGCTTGTAAAGGACTTGTTCTAGAAACGTGCTTGTGACTCGATTGCCACTAGTCCGTGAGGGAGCATCGGGGGGAAGACGTATGTCATGTGATCTCCTACTTACGCCATTCTGCCTGGAAATGAAGTTTGACTTAAGTCGCGCGGACTGCCGCCAAACTAGTTGGAGTCTTAGAGACTATCGACTCCTTCCTTATGTTCTTTAATTTTGATGAAAGCCGCAAGCATACAAGGAAGCAAGATTAAGAAAATAAAAAGCAAAAACATACAACAGCCGGGATTCGCTGGTGGTCACCCACCCAACTACTAACCGGCCGGCGTGTGGCTTAAGTACGKCTGAGCGKACGGGAAGCCCTGTTTTCCACACCCTATGGTCGTATGTGCTTGGTAAGGGAAGAACCAAGGCTTATATAGGGAGTAAGTGCACATACTATGTAAGCATTATTGGATATTAAGGCTAGACTGATTGACTATTGAAGAGAAATAATGAGATAGAGCCATTAGTTTTACATAAAGTCTCTCACAATTGAGTTATATTAGTGTATATCAAGTACCAAGGTATGAGTAGCTGAATCTCACGTTGAAGCGGAGGCCGATGAGGTAATGTCGGCTTGGATATACTTGGGAGCAAACTTTTTTCCGTGCTTGATTAAGAACTACGACGCCTTTCGACGGCTAAAGCTTCTGCTTTGTACTCTTTAGCCAGAGGGAAATGGATTCGTAACGACGAAATTCTTCCATGTGGCTCTCCCATGCTCAACTTTCTCCGCTCTTTCTGGCGCATCAAACGCCCATTGACCATGGAGCCCCTCATTGCCGTCGTCGGTTCAACAGGCACCGGCAAATCCAAGGTGAGGGAGGAGAGGAAAGAGAAGAATCACAAGAGAAGTCCTTTGCTAATGACTGTAGATAGCTTGCAGTGGATTTAGCCACCCGTTTCAACGGCGAAATCATAAATGGCGACGCTATGCAAATGTACCGTGGCCTACCCATCATCACGAATCAGATACCAAGCGAGGAACGTAACGGCATCCCACATCACTTGATCAGTTGTGTCGATTTGGAAGAGGAGCCCTGGCGCATAGGTCATTTCAAAAGGGAATGCCTGCGACTTATAAAGGACATACACTCCCGAGGGAAGCTCCCCATTCTGGTCGGAGGAACGCACTACTACACACAAACTGTACTCTTCCAGGATCAGCTGGTCGAGGAGAGCCTCTTTTCAGGCGACAGTGATGACGCACATTTCCATGACGAGACTGAGCCTACGTCCGCAAAGTGGCCCATCCTTGACGCGCCGCCAGAGGTGGTCTTTCAGAAATTAAAGGAAGTCGATCCCGTTATCGCCAGTCGATGGCATCCAAACGACGTGCGCAAAATCCGACGATCTCTGGAGATTTACTTTCAGACTGGCAAGCCGGCCTCCGAGATATACGCGGAGCAGAAGCGTCAGAAATATGCAATGGAGACAAATGGAGAGTCTTCCCTGGGTATAGGACAGCTCCGTTACCCGACACTGATATTCTGGGTGCATTCAGAGAAGGAGACATTGAACTGCCGACTTGCCAAACGTGTAGATTCTATGGTGGAGCAAGGGTTGATGGCAGAGGCCCAGAGAATGTGGGCTTATCTTCGGGAGAAAAAAAAGCAAGGCATTACTGTTGATCAAACTAGAGGCGTCTGGGTCTCCATCGGGTTCAAGGAATTAGCACCCTACTTTGACGCCTTGGATAATGGTGCTTTGAGCGAAGGGGAGCTTGAAGCGCTCAAACAGTCGTCGATCGAGTTGGTGAAAATCGCAACACGTCAATATGCGACGTCCCAGATCAAATGGATACGGAACAAGCTTTGGAAGGCGCTAGCTGACGCCAGTGCGACAGATAATTTGTATCTTCTTGACAGTACAATCGTTGAAGACTGGCAGAAGTGTGTCACCGAACCATCTGAGCGCCTGACTCGGGCGCTGCTCAACGACGGACCCAGACCAGATCCTAAATCTATCTCTGACCTGGCAAGAGAAACACTGGGCGCACGGGAGGCTCAGGCGCAGACACAGCGCAGCGACCTGCTTCAGACTTTTACATGTGAGGTCTGCAGTAGAACAATGGCGACAGAAGACCAGTGGAATATTCACCTGAACGGGCGTGCCCACAAGAGGGCAATCAAGAATGCAGCGAAAAGAGCAGAGCGCGAGGAATATTTGCGCAACCAGCAGACCTTAGGTGTTGTTCAAAACCGTGACGATCCAACTCCTACTGAGCAGCCTTCGACACCGCAGTAGAAAGTAGATGTGCTTTGAAAAAATATCACATTGGCTGCTTTCCCTCTGGCAGGCAGAGCCACCATCTTCAACTTTACATTTCCAGTATCCATTCTATGAGAAATTATACATGATGGACCGTGTCGTAAAGAGGTTGAATACCAACCTTGCCCAACGTTCCAAGTCTCCTGTATCATCGTAGCTGAATATGGCGACGTCCAGAATAGCGTAGACCACGTCGCTGTCACCTTGCCGATACACTGGCATAGGCAAAATAGAGCGTCTCAACTTGGTACAAGATGGCGATGATTTTCACCTTTTCGCGTTGATCCCCGAGCATGCTGTAGTCGTGTTATATTCTGTCCGGCCTGGCAATATTCGCCCATCAAATGGAACAGCACGACAGGTCTCTCAAGACCCGGATACGGGCTTCAAAAGCAGTGCTGTGGTCAGGCTGCTCACGTTGAGTGCTTACCACGATATCAGGCTGCTCAAATACATTACTTCCATCATAGCCTGACCCGAAGCCGGCGAGTCCACTCACATTGCATTGGTCGAATCGGCAGCCAGATTCGCGCACCTGCCGCAGTTTGTTGTGTTTCGAATCATTAAATGAAGTGCAAGGTTCCCCCCAGTCAAACAGTTTGTAGGCGCCGACACCACCTTATCATGAGCGTGATCGCCAATCCAGAAACGACGTGGAGATGATGTCGCCTGTCCCAGTCTCCTCAATCTTGAACACCTGAATAAGCGAAGACTTCTCCAGCTTACGGATTCGCCACGTTCCTCCCTCCTTGATTGTGGCTTTGAGCCCTTTGAACCCATTAGCTGAACGGACATGGAAGGGGCATTTCAGTGCATATGCTGAGACTTACATTCGAGGAATGCAGCAGCGAAGTTGATGCAAATGTTACCATCCCACGTACCCCGTCCTATCTTCTTTACCTTGTTTGGTATACTGGCTGTTTCAAGCTCTTCCAAACGATGAACTATACCGTGATGGTCGCGAAAACCAACAATGATCTTGGGGACGCCAAGGAGGAACGACTGTGCCCAGAACTTCAGAAGTTTTCGCTCATACTTTATCATGTCACGGTCGTTCCGGATCTCTGCCGAAGTCTTCAGCTCTACCCAGTTGATGGGATCTTCCTTGCGGTCGGGTTTGCAGTCCCACACTAGCACAACAGAATCAGCACAGGCTTTAACCCCACCCCCTCAAAAATGGCCGTAAGCATGCATCTAGAGTGAGAAGAGCATACCAGCATCGACTTCACCACCAATGATCAAACGTGAACTCCCTATCCCTGTTCGAACAACCGAGCAGTATTGTGCATTGTTGTTGACCACGAGATCTTCGCGACATTCGATCTCAGCCCGAGGGGTTGGATCCCATGGCTGCTGAAGCAAACATAGGGTTTCAAATTTGTAGCCTGGCCTTGCAATTTCAGCTTCTTGTAATCAGTTCATGGAGCGGTAACCGTACCCCAGTATGCCATCAGATCCTGGGAGGCCATTCCCGGGGGCATTCTTTGATTCTGCTGGATTCGTTTTTGCTGGTTTTTATAGACGTTGTTCTCCTCAACGAAACTACTCCCCATCAGCATCGTAGAATTAGCGGAGTTTAGAAGGATATACAAACATGGTACCCTGCATCTTCACTGTTAAAATGTAAACAGCGTATCAACGAGCTTAAAACAGCCCTTACCTGGAAACAAGTCGCATTCATTTCGAAACTAACGTTTCAGATCAGTAAGATGAAGGCATTTCATTAATCCGGTCTGCATACCCGTTGAGATTGTCGAAAGGAGCAGTCAAAATCTTCAAGAAGGAGCTAGTATCAGTAATAGCCACTTTCCAGATGAAACGAGAGACTTGAGCGGCTTACCTTCGTCATCATGCCTCTCCATGTGATGATGTCGGCTTCGCATCTCTTCCCAGTCTCCTTTTCCAGAGCTATAATGGTCTCTAGCAAAGCGTCTAGATGCTCATCGGCGGTATCATCTAGCTTCTGGAAAGTGTCGAAGCCACGATTCAAATCCGCAGGGAGGCGCGGCGTATAATAGTACCGCAGGGACGAATCCCCGAGCTGGAACTTATGCTCATCATCATATGAGAAGCAAGTGATCTCCTGTTTCCGGGTTATTTTCAAGTTTTTGTCTTGTATGGACACGGAAACGACATACCCTTGGACGTCGGATTGTGGTATTGGCGCCATAGAAGCGGCCAATTGGCTGGATGTCAAATGCACCACCATCCATAGCTTCTTCGACCGAGGTGTATCGGGCGTATATTGTGCCTATTGTGAAAGAAAATCAAATGATGCTTGCAGGCAAAGCTATTTCAAGCTGTGGCATCTATATAGGCTTCTTGCGACCAGTACGATTGTTAGGTAGAGCAAGACGCCAGTACATATATGATCTTCTAGGTGCACTGACAGATGCTCAAACGAGGAGCAATTACACCTCACTTGGATCGATGCACGTCAAACTTGCTGGGTTGGAATATTTTCCGCCGAAGTAACAAGGGGCCTGTATCTGGAGGAGCTCCGCGGTTCTGGAAGACACCAGGGAAGTTCCCCACCAAAAGTTCTCGACACTCGTCCATCCGCTCTCAGCTGTCGCTGATCTTGTTATCCACCTAGGCTGGAATCGCTCTACAAACTTATTTGTTCACGATAATTTGAAAATCTTAGCTTCTTTACACCCTCGACGCAACTCCCCCTGAATTTGTGGTCCCCTCCGTCAGTCCCCTGTCACTTGTGGGCACATTCCGAGATGACCTCACGCATCGACAAGACGATTGCTCGGCAACGCGAGAAGTAAGTTTGCCTTGAGCTTTGACATACGACAATAAATTTTTCAATTTTCGACCTCTCAAGAAGAGGATGATGGATATTAACTTTGGTTCTCATCTGCAGAATCGCCTCCGGTGCTTACTACGAAGCTCATCAACAACTCCGTGTTATCGCTGCGCGATACATCAAACAATCGAATTATGAAGCCGCTGCTGAAATATTGGCTGGCGGTGCGACTGCTCTGCTGAGAGCTGGATCTCAGCAGGGCGCTTCTGCGAGTGGGGGAGACTTGGCTATTATGTTGGTAGACGAGGTGTACACCAAGGCGGGGTGGGGGATTACTGGAGGAGATAACGATGCGGAGGGTCGAGCCCGAAAGAGTGAGTTTGCTCTCGTCTATTGAACATCACACGCTATCTCTTTATGGATGGAAGTCTTTCTGAGTGAATCTATATGGAACCAGCGGCTAGCTGGTGGGCTAAGGATATTGCACTTTCTGAGATCGAAATCGGCTAACGATGCTTCTGCATATAGAGCGCTTAATCGAGCTTCTGCGCGAATTCCCGTCGGAAGAGCCCACGAGGAAGAGATTCATTCAAGAGATGATCGGCTGGAGCGGACGGTTCGGTCCTGTGGAGAGAGGAGATGCGGAGTTGCACCATGCGGCTGGTTCAGTATACGCTGAAGGTTCGTTGGCCATATGTGACGGTGAATTTACGACGCATTGACGATCTTGCAGACAATGAGCCATATGATGCCGAGAAGCATCTCATCCTTGGAACCTCCGAATCCGCCGAGACACTCGCGAAGCTCGAGTACKAGTGGTACACGAACGACGAGCCTCATACGGCGGCTATTTACGCCTCGCGTGCAGTCTTTCCTTACCTGTTAGTCGGCAACCTCCGGAACGCCAACAAAGCCTTTCTCATCTTCACCTCACGGCTCTCTTCCTCAAATGTGTCCCTCGGCGTACAAGAAGTCAGCAGCGCCAGCTCCGATGTTCGAGTTTTCCCATCTCTGCCTTTGCTGAACTTCATAAGCATGCTGCTTCTCACTATTCAGCGAGGTAGCGCAGACCTTTTCAAGCAGTTAACTGCCCATTACGCATCGCAGATCCAGGAAGTGGGGATCTGGGATGATGCTTTGTCACAGATAGGCGAGCAATACTTCGCGATCAAAATTCCGAGACAAGGTAACCCACTTCTGGATATGATGGGCAGTATGCTGTTCGGAGGTCAGAACCAAGGCGGAAGTAGGAGAACACCCCAGGGACGGAGTCAGTCGAAGACCGTGGAGGCGCCGCCGGCCAGCATGGAGCTCGATTAGATGATCCAGGCCACGACCGCTGCGTGATATATGTATCTTGAACATATTAACCAAGTAGATACCAGATAGATAATTGAAGCGTGATTGTCCAGTGGTACTTGGCTTGTCCCGGACGCTGCAAGCTGGCTTTAGGCATGTGAATCTACTTCTGGCTCGTACATCCAGTTGTCTTCCTCGAGCGCCGCTACTCTACTTCGGAGACTTTGATGGATGAGATTGAGGATTTCTGTCGAATATTAGTGTTTTGATTGCAAACAGTATGAGAGCAGAGGATCACGTAGGGCCACGTTAGACCCACTGTACGCATGCACTTACCGGCTGGTTCGTTGCTCATTTGTCTGTTTCTGTTTCGATACATCATTTCTGCTAGGCTTGCCTCGATCTCTTCGACAGGCCAGTCACGTCAGCTTCTGCATTCAGACCACCAACCGTTTCTCCAGCCTGCGGCCTGCCAACCTACTTTCTTTTTCTCGCCCGCTGATCTCAGTTTGGCTAGCTGAATCGACAGCCGTAGCTCCTGCTCCCCCGCCAGTTCCACCCTCGTCCAAACCATCCATACCGTCGCCATTTTCGCCGGTAATGGCAGGCGGGAGAACAGGAATGTCAAGCTTGTAACCACCGTTCTTGTCCCTGACCACGATATCTCCGTTGTCCAAGGCACCAGAAGTCAGAGACGGGCCCATTGACTCGGAAGAGGACTGTAGCGTGTGAGAGGCAGGACCCGAAATCCCATTGCTCCTGCCACTTTGCATCGACCCAGGCGTAGTAGAGACCGGGCGTCTGCTGAGGTTATGGTGGAAGAGATTGCGTCTGACAGATGTTGTGCCCATCCTAGCAGGCAATTTGCAGGAATAGGTCCTGGATTATTGAGAAAGTTCCTAGCAGGAAGGACTGCCAGAAGCCGAGGAGAAACTGTGATGCTTGTTGACTACTTTTTGGGGCAAGAATAGATGCTTGTAAGGTGACGTGATTGAGCCATACGCGGTTCTGAAATGAGTGTCAAGACAATTCAAGCTAGTTGAGGCTGTAACAAAAGAATTAGCCTAGAAGAATAAAACGAATGCTGAGGCATAACAATAAACAGCCAATGCTGGGGGCAGTGGGTGGAGATGAAAGGGCGGAATTGATCCGGAGTCCCAATTAAGCCAAATTTGGTTCCGTCCCGACGCGTCTCCAACCTTCGCGTCTTCCGAAAGCCAGGTCAGTTAACTGATAATCTGCCTGTTGTTTCACATTACAAGGAACTGCAGAAATTCCTAGTACAGCTCACCAATTCCTGCATTCAGCTCTTCACAATGGTGCAAGCGGAATCCTCAGCAAGTGCTTCTCGAAATAGCCTCAAGGCTGTTACTGCTGGAGCTCCCTCCGATTATGAACTACCCTGGTTTGTACAAGATCACGATGTTCTACTTGACAATTTCTAATAGATGACCTTTTTAGGGTGGAGAAATATCGTCCCATCTTCCTCGATGATATCGTCGGCAATACAGAAACAATTGAGCGACTGAAGATTATAGCCAAAGATGGCAATATGCCCCACGTTATCATCTCGGGCATGCCTGGTATCGGAAAGACCACCTCGATTCTGTGCTTGGCGAGGCAACTGCTAGGAGAGGCTTATAAGGAGGCGGTCTTGGAACTGAATGCTAGTGACGAACGAGGTATATTGCTTTGAGTCAGTCCGTTCGGATCCATTCTGACGATCTGCTCAGGTATCGATGTTGTCAGGAGTCGAATCAAAGGCTTTGCCCAGAAGAAGGTGACGCTCCCACCGGGCCGTCACAAGATTGTTATTCTTGATGAAGCGGATAGGTGTGATACCTGAGAATTAAAATTATGTACGGATAGTCGCTGACCATTCACAGCATGACCCCTGGCGCGCAGCAGGCATTACGACGAACGATGGAAATCTACTCTTCTACAACACGGTTTGCATTTGCTTGCAACCAGTCAAATAAGATCATTGAGCCCATTCAGTCTCGATGCGCTATACTGCGCTACGCTCGATTGACAGACGCGCAGGTGGTGAAACGGTTGAAACAGATATGCGATGCTGAGAAGGTGGATCACACAGAAGATGGGATCGCTGCGCTGGTTTTCAGTGCTGAGGGAGATATGCGTCAGGCTATCAATAACCTGCAGAGCACATGGTCCGGTTTTGGTCTGGTCAGTGGAGACAATGTTTTTCGTGTGGTCGACAGCCCACATCCGATCAAGGTTCAAGCTATGATCAAGGCATGCTGGGAAGGAAAGGTCGATGCTGCGCTAGAAACGCTGAACGAGTTATGGTATGCGCACGTGATTGCGTTCGATTATTGCTTCTCAACCGATATACTGATAACTGCGCTTAGGGATCTCGGATACTCATCTCATGATATCATCAGCACCATGTTTCGAGTCACCAAGACAATTCCGACTTTGTCAGAGCATTCAAAGCTGGAATTTATCAGAGAGATTGGGTTCACACATATGCGCATTCTCGACGGTGTGCAATCGCTCCTTCAACTGAGTGGGTGCGTATCCAAGCTTTGCAAAATCAACATGAAGCCCCAACTCTTTGAGCCTCCGAAGGCCTAGATATTCCCGCCAAAAGCATTTTCATAGGGCATGTACATGGTGTTACGGCGTTCCAACGGCCGAGTGAAGTCTGAGCCTCTTTTCTTACTGCAACGAGCTGAATTGGTGTATTTCGAATTATGCATCCACAAGAAGCTTCATATGGTATCTATTTTTCTACAATTTGAATCTAATTAGATCTTCGTATGCGTTCCAATTGAGCACAGCTTGCTGAATACACTAGCAGTTTTCAACCCAGGCAGGTGGGTTATGGATACGCCAGCTTATATAACGGATCCCTTATGGGGACTACGAGCATAAAGTAGCTCGGCCGGATCGCAGGCTACTCCAGAACCGGTGTGACCGGCATTTTGGCACCCTCAGGTGGCCTGTGGTTCTTCTTAAACTCATCGCACATTTGCTCAAACGTCACCCATTCCACACCCTCGTGTTTGTTGATATACTCGATGATCCTGTACTCTAGTCGGCCTGAGAAATCTCGCAGAGACCTGCGCAAGCAACAGACTTACCTCTCATGCATGAGAAGGACATGGGGCCGGCCTGAAACATCGGGGTGGATCGTCATCGGAAAGACAAAGCTGTCGTACTCGCGATAGAAGTAGTCAAAATGGTCCTGGAACAGGTATCAGTTCAGCCCGCGTGGACAGTAACAACCTAGCCTGGGCCCGGTCACGGGTAAACGGACCTTCCAAATATCCTCGATGTCCCTCGGATTCACCCATCCATGGCTGTTAGGCGCGTTCTTGATGAACATCATCGGCGGCAAGTCGTCAATATACCAATTTCCGGGGATTTCCACGAGTCCAGTATCCTGGCCGCGGACCAGCGGCTTCATCCAGGCCTCCGCCTTCTGGCTATAGTCGATCTTGGTCCAAGTGTCCCCTGTCCGAAGCCAGTACATCTGGCAGTCATGATGGGACATGGAGTGGTCGTATTCGATTCCGTACGCAAGCAGGAGATCCGCCATCTCCTTGCTCGTCTCCCACCAGGGCGCCACGATGCCCCGAGGCGGTTTGCCGCAGAAGTCTGTCAGCATGCGGTACGTTTTGTCCAAAACGTCCTTTTGCTGCTCGGGAGTCATGTCGCTGGGATTCTCATGGCTGTAGCCGTGTAGGCCGATCTCGTGTCCTGCGTCTCTCACTTGGGCGCATTCTTCAGGGAATGTCTCCAGGGAGTGGCCGGGGATGAACCATGTGGCTTTGATGTTATATTTCTCAAAGAGCTTCAAAAGACGTGGGGTACCCACATGACCAGCCCAGAGTCCTGTGAGAAGATGCGGTAAGAACTAGTTGCCTTGTTCGAGTGCATGCGCAGTGTCTCACCTCGACTGATATCGTTCGAGCTGTCCTCACCACCGTAGGACCCCAACCAACCCGCGACAGCATCAATATCCACCCCGTAGGCGACCAAGATGCGTTTTTTGCCCATAATTCTGATTCGTCCGGTGGGTTTTACAAGAAGGCGTTTATGATGGAGACGGCTTGGACGGTCAAGTTGTGCCGGTTTATATATGCGAGCCTGCTCCACCTGGCTTGATATCAGGTCAGCCACATTGGAGAAACAGTCAGAACTATGATAAGACGAGATAAGGAATCAATTTATGTCTCTGTATCTTCGTGTTTATCAGTCTATTGACCCTGCAGTTATGACCTACCCTTTTTTGGCAGAAATTCAATTGAGGGATAGGTGAGGCCCCTGGCTTCGAGTTACATGGATCGTTACGTGCATTCTATGTAGCTTGAAATGGGAAATGCGGGACAGGTCATTTCCCCTCTTGATTCGGATATGCAGGCGCAGGTAGCCAAGGGTGGGGTGGCCTGGCTGTAAGCAGACGACACTCGCCCAGCTGTCATGAGGGGAAGAGTTGGAGACGGGAGCAGCACAACCCCAAATTTGAAGGTCGTGGGAGTCAAAAGCACAGGTCTGAGCGAGTTTTAAGGAATTCGTCCGCTCTACAGCTGAGATACGTTTGTAAAAGTACTGAGGGGATGATGCTACAAGAGGTGCATATTTATCCAGTCGCCATTTGAGTCAGAAACATCACGTCCTACGGATATAAGCTAGATAAGATCGCTACGCTTTGGCTGCCCTCCAGAGCTTCTCAATGGCTGTTGCCGCCCCCAATACCTTCTCTTCTTCAAGTTTTTTACCAACGATCTGAAGGTTTATCGGGTGGCCGTCCATCGTCAGCGGGTCGTAGAGGCCCCAGTTCCACTCGTCCAGCTCGTTTCTGGGGCGATAGAGTTCGCCTGGCAATCTGTCTTTCTCTGCTCTCACTTGATCCACAGGGAAGGTGACTGCAGGGTAGTCGAGCAGATTCCAGATCTTAGTGTAACCTACCCAACGCACACTGCGATGGGGGACGGCCGCATGTGGCATCGTTGGACTAAGGAGAATATCGACTGGCTTCCCTGACGGGGACTGAACGGCATTCCACTTATCAAGATATCTCTTTTGAAGTGTAGTCTTTTGCTTGTTGAGTTGCCAGTATTCATAGACGGAGATCGCCTTCCCACGGTTGATCAGAGCTTCAACATGAGGGATATAAGGCTCCCCGGCGACCTCTACGTCGCGCCGGATATCCTCACATCCGTCAGCGGTATAGTATTGATCCATGAGCTTGATATAGTCGAAATGATCCGATGCGTCCCAGACCACGATCTCATGGCCCTGAGCTTCCATTTTAGCGGATAGCTCTCGGAGGGCTCTCTCGACAGGGGGATGGACTTTCACAACTCCATCATCCATAATCAGACCGACGACGAGGGGCCTCAATAGCGCATCTTGAAAGCTATCCTCATCCCAAGGGAGAGGAGCGCATTTAGGGTCCAAGGTCCATGGTTTAGCGTTTGCAAATATGCGACAGACATAAGAGAGTGACGAGAGGTCTCTTGTCATAGGCCCTATAGACGAGGGAACATGTTCTTGACCCTCGGTGGAGACCGGGACGCCGTAGTATGGAAATCGGCTGCTCTATAACAGAATCAGACCTAAATTCTTCACTGGTACCAAGGCTTGTAGAACATACACTTGGTTTGAAACCATACAGACCGTTGATACTCTGCGGGATCCTGATACTTCCTCCAATATCTGTTCCAAACCCCAGGACCGAGCCATGCAGAGCCAGCAAAGCTCCTTCACCCCCTGTCGAGCCACCAGGAGTGAAATGAGGATTTCGTGGGTTGACCGTTAGACCCCAGAGCGGGTTCTCAGTTTCAGCCCACTGAAGAGAGGGTTAGTTTACTCGTACCTT